CACTTTTCGGGCAACTGATATTTCCTATTTGCCATCCCCTTCCCCAGATTTTAAGCCTTCAGAAAATAAGACTTGTTACTTCAGTTTATTTTCCATCTTCTTTCAACTCCTACCATTTGCTCAGCATTCATCATATGCTGAGAACATCACTTTCCTTCTGTTTTGGGTTATATGCTTTTCTGTTAAAAGGTAAAGAAAATGAGAAGGAGCTAAAGTAATTTGAGAGAGACTGGGGGCCAAAGGGAGATGTTGATCATTTAAATAAGGAAGCCAGGGAACCAATTCAGTAGTTCAGTGGAATTGAGCCTAAGTCAGAATGCCCAGGAATAAGTCTTCCCAGGTTAAGTGGTAAGCCTTGAACCTGAAAAATTATTTTGAGTAATGTCCCTATTAGCAAAGGCTGCAATTACAGACTCAAAATTGAACAAAATGATTCAAGTCAGATGTAATTATTATAGGAGGATTTTCTGTGACTGGTAAAATAGCAGCATGTATTTATACCTCATCTAAGTGTTATGCCCACAGCATCCTTATAAGGGTTTGAGGTCAGTGAACTCAGTGATGGGACTTCAAATGTGCCTCTTCACAGACCTTCAGAGGGGGACATGATTGTTTGAGGTATGTTTTACATTTTTGAGATTTTAGACAGTGTTTCCTGGAAGAAGACCAGACAAAGTGCTCCTTACAGGTAAAGGTGTTGAGATTTCATCTCACATACTTGGGTCATGTTATCAGGAGGGCAGTCCTTGGGAAAGAGCACCATGCTTGGAAAATCCGAGACCCAGAGAAGGAGGAAGCTCTTCAGCCAGGTGGATAGAGTGATTGTAATGATGAGCTGACGCAGTGCTGAGATTGTGAGGATAGTGCAGAATGAGACACAGTTTTGATCTGTTGTGTTAATATGTTGGAGCTGACTCAAGGGTTCCTAACATCAAGAAGACTTGTTTGAGGGGGCCATTTCCTTACTTAAAACACTATTTCTGAAACATTTCTTTATTGCCTTTTTAAGACCGCTTTTTAGGGTTTTCCCCCCCCACTCTTTTCATGAAATTTTTATCTGATAAATACCTAAGTATCTATGTATGATTTGTGCACCTTTGAAGGGAACACACTTTTGTATTCCCTAAGAACTTTTTGCCCCTGCAAGCTAATTTTCACCCCTATGGAGCCAATACAGAGGTCTGGTGGCATGGTTCTTAGTATGTCACACTGCTAACCAAAAAGTAGTGCTGCTTTGGCATTTTGAATTAGTCAGAAGCTCCCTGAGAATAAGATTAACATCTTCTATTAAGATTTATAGCTGTAGAAACCTGATGGAGGGGCACTAACTTGACCAGAATGAGTGAGTGATTGTCTGTGGTGAAAACACATAACCTAAAGGTGTCATCCTCTTGGAAATAAACCTTTTCCTTAACAAGTTGAAACTGAGACAAGCACCATCAGTAAATTAACAAAGAAAGAATCTTATGATAGTCTACAGGTACTTGGGAAGAGTTGAAAGAGTTGTTGTTGTTATTGTTGTTATGTGCCATCGAGTCATCTGCGACTCATAGCGACCCTATGTACAAAACCCCTAAACTCTGCCCTATCCTGTACCAATCTCACCATCTCTGACATACCTACCCCCATTACCCCAGTCAGTGAATCAATCCATCTCATCGAGGGTCTTCCTCTCCTGAGCTGTCCCTCCACCCTCCCAAGCATGACGTCACTCTCCAAGGACTGGTCCCTCCTTGCAATATGTCCAGACTATGTCAGACGAAGCTTCAGAATCCTTGCCTCCAAGGAGTAGCCTGGCTTCACCCTCTCCAGAAAAAACTTGTTCATTTTCTTAGCAGTCCATGGTATATTCAATACTCCTCTCCAACACCACAGCTCAAAGGTATCAATTCTCCTCCTATCATCCCTAGTTATTGTCCAGCTCTCTGATGCATAGCAAGTGATTGCAAAGACGGCATGTAGCAGGCACAAATTAGTCTCCAGACTGACATCGTTGCACTTCCGTACTTTAGAGAGGTCTCTAGCCACAGACTTTCCCATCACAATTCATCTTTTCATTTCCTGGCAAACCAAAACCGTGAACAATCTCAATCTCTTCATCATCCATTCTGATGCTGCCAATCAGCCCAGTGGTGAGAATCTTTGTTTTCTTGATATTGAGCCTCAAACCATACTGAAGACTGCAGTCCCTGACCTTCCACAGCAAGTGCTTCAGGTCCTCCTCAGTTTCAGCAAGCAGGGTTATGTCATCTGCATAACGCAGATTGTTGATGATCCTTCCTCTAATCCTGATGCCACATTTCTCCTCATAGAGCCCCAGCCTTCCGGATAATCTGTTCTGCATACAGGTTGAAAAGACAGGATGCAGCCTTTGGATACACCCTTCCCAGTTTTGAACCATACAGTATTTCTTTGTTCTGTGCTGATGACTGCCTTCTGGTCCAAGTATAGGTTTCACATTAGCACAATCAAATGTTCTGGGATTCCCATTCTTCTCAGAGTTGGCCACAGTTTTTTGTGATCCACACAGTCAAATGCCTTTGTCATTCTTCTGGTACTCCTTTTTTTCCAGCCAAGATGCATCTAACATTAGCTACAATATCCCTAGTACTACAATCCCGTCTAAACCCAGCCTGAACTTCTGGTAGTTCTCTGTTGATGTGCTGTTCCAGTCGTTTTTAGATAATCTTCAGCAGAACTTGCTTACATGTGCTATTAATGATATTGTTTGGTAATTTTCACACTCTGTGGGATCACCCTTCTTTGGAATTGGAACAAATATGTAACTCTTCTAGTCAGTTGGCCAAGTGGTTGTTCTCCAGATTTCTTGGCAGAACTTGGTGAGCATACCTAGGGCAGCATCTGTTAGTTGAAATGTGTCAATTGGTATGCTGTCAATTCCTGGGGCCTTATTCTTAGCCAATTCTTTAAAAGTAGTCTGAACTTCTTCCTTCATCAGCATAGGCTCTTGCTCATATGTTGCTTCATTAAATTTTTCTTGTGTCTGCCAATTCCTTTTGGTATAATGACTCTGTATGCTCTCCATCTTCTTTTAATACTTGCAGGCTCACTCAATATTCTGCCCAAAGCATCCTGAAGTATTGCAATTCGAGGCTTGGATTTTCTCTTCAGTTCCTTGAGCTTAAGAAATGCTGAGGCAGTTCGGTCCCTTTGATTTTCTGACTCCAGCTCTTTGCATATTTCATTGTAACACTTTATCTTGTCGTGCAGCCTTTTCAAATCTCCTGTTCAGCTCCTTAATGTCTTGATTTCTTCCTTCTGCTTTGGCTTCTGTACACTCCAGTGCAATATTCAGAGTCTCTTCTGACATCCATTTTGGTCTTTTCTTCCTCCTCTGTCTTTGCAACGACCTTTTGCACTCTTCCTGGATGATATTCTTGATATCTTCTCATAACTCATCTGGTCTTCACTCATTAGTGTTCAAGACCTCAAACCTATTCCTGAGATGGTTCTGAAATTCAGGTGGGATAGACTCAAGGTTATATTTTGGTTCCTGTGGGCTTGATTTCACTTTCCATAGCTTCAGCTTAAACTTGCATATGAGTACTCTTTTTAAATTCCATAGAGTATATGGAGGAAATGTTATTTCTGAATAATATCTTGACAAATAAAAGGGAAGCACCAGGTGTAGCAGAACAGTTTCTCTCTCTCTCTCTCTTCCCTCTCTCCCTCCCTCCCTCTCCCTCTTCGTCCCTCTTCCTCTCTCCCCTCACCCTCTCTCTTTCTCTTTCTCTCTCTCTCACACACACACACACACACACACACACACACACTCACACACACATAGAT